CACCCCCCCCTCCTCCCACACACACACACACCCACACACACACACACACACACACACACACACACACACACACACACACACACACACACACACACACAGCTCTACTAAAACAGATTTTTGTTAAATGTTAGTTTAAATTAAAAGCTCAAGATTGTTAAACTGAGATTTTGTTAAAAGGTTATAAAGTAATGTAAAAACTGAGTAAAATTAAAATTTTAAACTACTTTATTGATCCCAAAGAGAAATTAAATGTTGTAACTCATATCAATTCAGATTATTCAGTTATTATAAATAATGATCGCTGTTGGCAGGAACTTAATTTTTATAAAGAAATATTCACATATCTGTGCCTAATCTATTATTTTTATCACATTTCTGGACAGGAAAGTAATTTAATTGAAATTAAGCAACTAAAAATAAAGTTGTTTTATTTTGTAAACAAAGGATACAAACAAAAAGGAAAAAAATCTAACAAATCTAGCAGGTGAAAAAGTTAGACCCCCCTACTCCTGTTTGAGCCTTTCTAAACAAAGAGTAGATTCATGAAACTCGTTCAGACAAAAGTTTTTATCAAAATACAACATATTAATGTTTACAATACGAAATTTGTGGCCATTTTTAAATAATCACCATCTTATTTCTGGTTTTAGATTCTAAAACATAGAAAAACATAAAACATTTAAAAAAAGACAATTGTTACATGGTCTTCCATGAGATGTTGATGGTTTTGGAAATTCAAATTCAAAAATGCTTTATTGCTCCCAAAGGGAAATTAAATGTTAGTGTAATGCATAATAAAGAGACTTAACAGAGTTCTTGAAAATGATGCAAACAGAAAACGATGTAAAGGTTTTCTTTTTGGCAATAAGTCAATGTTTTTTGGTGTCTAGAAAACGAGCCTTTTTGTAAACCTCCTTACTGTCCAGTCACGGGCACTGCGTCGTTACCTAGCAACCCCAGCCAAGCCCAACCTGTCGCCTAGCAACCACAGCGGAACTCCCTAAAACAGGTCATTCTGAAAAGAGCTCAAACTGGGCAGAACTGACCAAACTAAAATTTGATTATCTAAGAATCACTTTGTTAAAAAAATCTAATGAACATGTTTTATCGCCCATAGAGCTATGCTAACCTGGTGAAGGAAGGAAAGTAGGTCACCTTTAAAGTAACTCCTGACCCCAGGCGGATTGTGACAGTAAGCAGGCCACAAAACATCCAAATGAAACAGCCAGCTATTGTAAATTTGATTGTTCTGTTAAGTCATCAGATGTAAACGGTGGCAACTGGTTGTCCAGCTGGTCCCAGAGAAGTCAACGCTAAGGCAGACAATCTCAAAAAACACCACGAGTTTGTTAAAATGGTGCTTCAGTAACCGTCCTGGAGGTTATCTACAATGAACCTGATGATTCCCAAATATGGAGATTTTTTTCTCAGTCTAGTTTCATACAGGAAAAGGACTGACTTCATTTCCTTTGTAAATAATCCTCTAATGCAAATGTAGTCACAGTTTGAAAATGGCCAAAGTCTGTTTTGGTTTTAGTCACTCTTAGCTGTTAGCTTGGTGTGCTCTCTTTGAATTTTCTCACCTGAAATGCATCAGGAGAACCCCCTGAAGTCGGAATACAAACTGGAAAAATTGGACATTATGAAACACTATGTTCAAAATCCAATATGGCTGCCGTGCATATGAAAATAGTGAAAGTGCATCTGGGGATTATTGTGCAAACAAGGATTCTTCTTAAAGGCAAGAAAATTACAGACACTGTGCATCCGCTTTGTGAGATGGTTAACAAACAAAAGTGTCTTCCAGCAGAGACTTCTTCTGATCGACAGTAGCACAGACTGCTACAGGAGATCCTTTCTGAACTACATTTAATTCTCTTAAATGCCGATCGGAGTTTTTTAATTGAATTGAAGTTGCAGATATATGCCATTTTATTTCTGGGCAACTTAACTTTTGTATTTGTGCGTAAAATAAAAACGAAAAAAATCCTTATCTAGTTGTTGGCACAAACAATTAGGAAACCACATCCAAATAAGTCGAGCGCAACTCAGGTGTGATCTTAGACTGAAATCCGATTTCCAATCATAAGAAGACGCCAACTGCTTATAACCTTCAAACAAAACCTCTCTTCAAAACCGCTGATCTATCCCATTTAAAGTTGTGCAGAAGAGAAGCAGATCTAAAATGGTGCCAGAAATAGAAATAAAAAGGTTTACAAATAGTTTTCCTCCTTTTAAAAACCTAAAAATAGAAATCTCCTGGCAGCTTTTAGGATCAGAAAAGCTTTTTGCTTGTTTCTCCCTCCACTTTTTAATAAGCGAGACTATGAGATAAAACTTCTTTTTTTTTTAAAGTGCCACTTTATTACAAAAGTATAAACTTGACTTGACATTTCATGAATAGTAATCTTGATATAAAACATTACAATCTTTTGCACTTTAGCACTTAAATTACACGCTTTTTCGAATACAAGACCCTGTAGTCTGAATAGCAAACACACAACATTAGCTGCCACATTTAAAACTTAGCAGGGCTTTTTCCAAGAACACACCGTAGCTTCATGGCTTCCATAAAACAACAAACAGAGAGTAACACGGAATATTTTTTACATTGCAGCTGTTTTGCAGTTTTGTGTCACAATATAAGTCATTCCAAAAAACACAACTAAACATAATAGAAAAAGATAGATTTCTTGACACTGATGATATATTTATTATTCTTTCTCTTTTTGTCATGTACATACACGTTGCATCAACATTACAGTATAATCACATTGTTTGTTGGGGGTATTTGGTTGAGTGAAGTCGCTGTTATTGTTCAGGTTTTGGATGTAAATTTGTGGTTTTGTAAGGGGGAAGGTTGATGCTCTTTCGGTTTACGTCTTTATTTTTTTTTTATTTTTCGCGATATATTTTAACACTGATAACAGAGAGAGTGTTCATCAATGGAGTGACGATGAGACGGGACATTTGCTAACACAAGTCAGTTCCTGTTGTAGCTCTCTGCGCTGCACTTTGATGGAAACCCAAGCGGATTCGTATGACCACAAGGCAGGGATGATCCACAGATGTGACTGAGCAGACAGGGGCGTGTTGAAGTGGGGGGCGTGAGGGGGCCGTGGACCGTTCTCCTGGATTCATTTGGGCCACAGCAGAGCATCTAAACACCGCCAAGCCAAACACATCCTTCATCAAACCGGCTTAGAGCTCCACAGATAAATAAAGCAACACAGTAAAAACAGAAAAAATAAACAAAAACGGTAAACAGCCAACTACAAAAAAAAAAAAAAACATTCATATAGAGAAACCACATGACAGTGCTTGTTTTTTTTTTTTGTTTTTGTTTGTTTTTGCTTCTTTTTTTTTTAGGCATGCAACTCGTAGCAGGCAAAGTGCAGGAACAGGATCAACAAAGTAAAACACTTCATATACAGACAGCAGTGGAGACAGTGTTCAGTCCATGTCGAGTGAAACTTCATGGAGGGAAGAATCCGATTGGCTTTCTTATTTTTTCTGTTAAGGTGAAAATGGTCTCAATTTGTCGAAGCTTTTAGGAGGAATGCAAAATGTGCAATTTTTCATTATAATACTATTTATAATTTGTTTTTCTTCTTGGTCCCTGAGCTTTCAAGTGTTTTGATTAATATTTAATTTGATTTCTATCCTGGTCAAATATACAGGGAAGGCCTGTTCACCACAGACTAAGTGCTACTAAAATATTTCCCCAATTAGAGGTCCAGCTTGGACCGAACATGGGACTATTTTTACCCGCTAGAATTGAGGAAGAATTTAGGCTTTTGACTTCATTGTGCTTTGCACAGATGTATCAGTAAAACTGAAGTGCTACTGTTTACCTACAGATCACTCTGCAATGGTCTTGTGCTCATTTATTATTGACTACCTTTGGATTCCTTTAAGGTTTGCAGACAGGACTTTGTATTCAGCCCAGGTCATAACAGATCAACATTACCACCCAACGCCTCTGCACGGAAAAAAACACTAAATCTTACCAAACATTTTTTTTTTATCTCGTTTCTAGTGCAAATATTTTACTACACTTAAAGTGAGTAAAAACTAACTTACAAGTAACTTTACAGAAAGATGTAGGAGCTTGTTTTAGATCAATAATGCCTTACTGTTGATTTAAAAATACCAGTTTCATGGGTGAATTTTTCTCTTACAACATGGGAAAAATGTCTTATTTGTAAAAAAAAAAAAAAAAAATCAACTAGTACTTTTGTATCAATATTGAAGGGATCCTTTTGTTCAAAAGTCACATTTTGCACATTTTTATAATTCCATTTTGGTCTCTGCTGCTTCTATAAACACCCCAATCGCTTCAGAAAACCACCCAGACTTTTTTGGCACTAACTTTGTATTATTTAGTGTGTGAAAATTCAAAAACTCCTGGATGTAACGTCACAAATCAGCAGCCGCTGCGTCGTTACCTAGCAACCGAAGCTGAATTCCTATAGACCAATCACATTTGGTCAGCTGGTTTTACCGCTGTGTGCTGCTGGGAAACACAAGTTGTTGAGTTAACATTCAGAAAAGATGTTAGAATAATGTTTAAACATGGCTGTATAATCACGCATCTGTTTTCAGCCGTTTCCACTCAGCCGATGGGCGGCGTGGTCAGCAGGACTTTATTGGATTTAAAGTGACGGAGACGCTAGAACGGCTCAAAACAAGTAGAACAGACCAGATTAAAATTATCTAAAAATGATTTCAACAGACTTAAAAAAAAAACGGTTTCTACCCAAGAGCTGTTGTTGGTCTAAACATCGTAAATTCATCCAAACCTATTTTCTTAATATCTCGGTTGTTTCTGTTTGTTTTATGTATGTATTCATTGCAGAGTTGCTATTTTTTTATTGCACAATGACAATAATTATGATTCTGATTTTGTGCAAAAAATATAATGAACATGTTTTGTACAAATAAATAAATTATGGACAACTCTGGCCATCCTCTTCATGACACAGAGTGTCTTCAGTCAGAGGCTTCTTCAGATTTGCTGTAACACAGACTGCTACAAGAGACCTTCCCTGCCAACAGTCATCACCATCTACAGCAATTCTTTGCAAAATTTGAATTGATTAATTATAACAACAAATAATTTGGAATGAATAAAGTGTTTCTGAATTTGAAAAGCCCAGAAATCTCTCCTCAAGGACGCATAGCAGGTCACCCTAAAGCAGTTATTGACTTAAAACAAGCTCTTATATCTTGCTGAAAAGTTACTTGTAAGTTTGTTTTGCCTAATTTCAAGTGTACTAAGACATTTGCACTAGAAACTGCAGCAAAGTACTTGGTAATATGTGGTGTTTTTGCAGCGTGGCGCCTGTGAAAGGCCTGATGTCGTGACTTTAATGTAAACAGTATGTGTGGTGGGCATGATGGGACCCAGCAGTGTCAGCTCAGAGGGGGTCACAGTGCAGCCGCTGCCTCAGAGCCCTGTGACGTACATCTCCATGCCGTCGTTGAAGGTGAAGATGGTGGTGGTGCTGGAGGTGGCGGAGCCCTGCTTCAGGTCGCCAATGCTCTCGTACAGGTTCTCCCCCGGCAGCAGCAGGGCTTTGGCAGGAAGGTGTTGCAACTTGGGCGTCTGCTGCGTGGGCGGCGGCGGCGGAGGGTGCTGCTGCTGCAGGGGCTGCTGGGCTTTCTTCCTCCTCGGCCGCAGCGTGGCACATGTGTTCGGAGGCCGCTCGCGCTTCCAGGCGCCCCCGCCTTCCATGTTGTCGTACGCCGGGTCGCACTCCTCCGTGCCGATGGACTCGTAGCAGTGGTCGTCCAGGGAGCCTCCGACCGCTTTGCCCTCTTGAGGGGCCCATGTCTGCGGTTTGACCACAACGCTGAATCCACCGTCTCGGTCCCGGTCGCCTCGACCCAGGGTCCGGAAGCCGAGGTTCGCCGGGGGAGAACCCGGCATCGCTCTCTTCTTCTTTCCAGGTTTGCACACTTTGGAGTACATCTCAGCCACCTGGAGTCAGACAGGAAAATGTTTTTTATTCAGAGATGTTAAGAAGATGTTCAAGGATCCTGGTGTAAACAGCTGCTTCACTGCAAAAACACAAAGCCTGACCCGTTGTCTTCTCTAGTTTCTCGTGCAAATATCTCAGTGCGCTTCAAATAAGACAAAACAAATCTACAAGTAACTTTTCAGTACAATAGAGGAGCTTGTTCTATGTCAGTAACTCCTTAATTTTATTTGAAAACTTTCAGATTATTTCACTTGTAATTTGGTAAAATAAGTGGAATAACCTGCCAGTGGAAATAAAACTTTTTTTGACTTTAACAAGCTCCTATATGTTGCTGAAACGTTACTTCTAAGTTAGTTTAGTTATTTCAAGTGTTTAATAAGATATTTGTAACAAAATTAGACCAAAATTACTTGGATACTATATTTTGGATACTGCCAAAAACTAGATTGTTTTGCCAAAGTATTTGTTTGCATTCAGCTCTCTGCAAAAATAGTTCAAGTCCAGTGAAATAAACTCTCTGGACAGAACAGGATGATTATATTAAAGCTGTTTTCTGCACAACTGTAAATGTTTTTCAATCCATCCATCTAGCAATGAAGTGAAAAAGACCTTCAGGGAGCTTAAAGAAAATAAAATACTCTGTGGCAGAAACACCTGCACAAATATGACCTCCATTAAAAGTAATCACCAGCAAAGGAAAAGAGGAATCCTCTCTTCAAAACCGAACACCAGCGGCAAACAAACAAACCTTCAAACAAGAAAAGGCAGAAAACACTGGAGCTCATTGACTGGTTTTCAGGTTTTCTCAAAAAGCTCCATGGACACCAACATTTTGACACCGTTTGTGTTTTCATCAGCGTCACCAAGCAATTAAAGAAACCTGTCTTATTTCAATAAAGCCCCAAAAGACTGAAGCTAAAATAAAGCAGCTTTAGTACGTTTGGTAAAACACATATTTGTTGACAACATCTACAATCTTCAACAGATTTTACATTTTTTTCATTTCAGACAATGAAATGTACAAAAAATGATGTTTAAAACCTGATATTTTTGATTGTAAGGAAGAATGTCAGACATTTCGCTTACATTTCTATAGACTAGGGGTGTTCAAAGTGCAGTCCGTGGGCCATTTTTGGCCTCTGAACTGAATTTGTGCGACCCAAATCTGCCAAAGAATAAATCAAATCCTGTTCTTACCTCTGACAACCAAAAAAATTAAAACTGCATGTTTTTAAAATAATGTTAAAGAAAGTTTACAATAATATGAGCTTGTTTTAAGTCAATAATTCCTTAATATTGATTTTTAAAAAGTACCAGTTCCACTGGGAGATTATTTTACTGATAACATGGGAAAATGTCTTGTTATAAGTGAATAATGTGCCAGTGGAACTAGTACTTTCTTAATCAATATTAAGGAATTATTACATTAATCAAGCTCATATTTTTTGCTGAAAAGTTACTTGTAAGTTGGATTTGTCACCAAGATATTTGCACCAAAAACTAGATCAAAAATAGTTGGTGAGATTTTGTGTTTTTGCAGTGTAATCCTATATCTATTTCCTTCTGCTTCATAATTGTGCATTACTTTGACTGGGCCCTTAGTGTTGGGGACAAAAATCAGAAAAAGTTCAAAGGGAATGAATACTTTACTACATTGCAAATAAATTGATTTGTATATGCATTAAAGGTGGAGAACGACCAACATTTTGAATCGTGTTACGCGTCGTCGTCACTCACCACTGCGGCAGACGGCTGTATATTCTCCACTAAATGGGCTCCCAGTGGGCCCAGCGCTTTATTCTGGAGCATCAGCATGTCATCATCCTCCGGAGGCTTCCAGATGTACTGCTCTCCATTGCCCATAAACATCACTTCCTGTCAGCACAGCAACAAGCCAAGCTTTAGGACAGAGTTGGTCACATGTTCAGGCATGCTGCTGCAGAGACGGGAAGACCTCTCCAGCTGTGAAAACTGCATTTCCAAACGGACTCATGGGTGACAAATTAACCTCTCTTAAGAAATGGCGTAGTGTTGGAGTCGTGTTGAATGGATTTCATGCGGCGCTGAAGAGATTTTCCCTGAAAGGTGGAGCCTGTGAGGAAGCAGGTGCTTTTATTGTAGATGACTCAATTTCAGCGAGTTGCATCATCCAAAAGGAAATCTGTGGCGGCCAGACCTGTGAGCAAACTGCGTACGCTTGTAAGCCTGTGAACTGTGCGTGTAAATGAACTCGGGTCACAGCAGACAGCGCGACCTTTCTGACCTCAAACGGGGGCAGCAAATGGCGTCCCACTGTCACCTGGAGGGGAGCAAAGAGCCATGTACAGTAAAAACCAGCCAGCCAACCTGCAGTCCTGCTGCTGTGAACATATGGAGGAGGTGACACCGCTGAGGGCAGAAAGACAAGAACCCGGCCACAAATAAACAGGTTCACAGCCTGAACTTCAAAGAGGTTTAAGCAGAAGTGCCAGCGTACGAGAACAGCCGGGGGAAACTGCATCACTGGCACAATTACAGCCCCGCAGATCCTCCGCCAAGAGGAAACGTCACAGAAACGCCACGCTGCAAAAGATTACCGAGTATTTCTGGTCCAGTTTCTAGTGAAAATACCTTAACACACTCAAAATAAGACAAAATTATCGCTTTTGTTTCTGAAAAGCAACTTTTCAGAAAGATATAAGAGCTTATTTTAAGTAAACAGTTCCTTAATATTGATGAAAAAGTTCTAG